TTATCTAACACACATACTCAGTCTACATTTCAATTTGCACATAATATACCTGTACATACAACTGTCTATTGTTCTATACCTGTACATACAATTGTCGATTTGTATATTTTTTATTCCTTATTTTACTTGTTCTATTTTTTATTTATTTTTATTATCTGTGTTTTTTTGTTCTGTCACTCATTCTGTTACACTGTGGAAGCTTCTGTCACGAAAACAAATTCCTCGTATGTGTAAACATACCTGGCAATAAAGCTCATTCTGATATTTTAAAGACAGATTTAAACCCACAACGCGTGAAAATACTCAAGACCAATCTTCAAAATCTCCATAGAAATAAAATGTTTAATATAAATTTAGTTATTCTTAATAATTTAGTTACCTGAATTATTTCCATATCTGAATTACTGTAACCAAGTATTTCAAATAAGCAAACAATAAAAACAATGTCAGTTTTGCTCTTACAGTTCAGGTAGTTTGGGTTCGCCAGGCACTGAACAAACTCCAACTCCAGCTGGAAACGGTGTCTTGCCTGCTCCTCTGTGCAAGTATGAATTTTAAAGGTTAGCAATAGGCCTGTCACGATAACAACTTTTTGTTGTGCGATATATTGCCCCAGAAATAATTGCGATAAGCGATATTATTGTAATTTTAAAGACCATTTTATTCCACTGAATATATAATCATAATGTAACAGCATAATAATGCAAGAAGGCCTACACACTTCCAAATGACAGAATATTTAGATCATGGAAATTAAGTATCAAAATATTACATACCTTAAAAAACCTGAATAAATAGTAAATAAACATTTTCAAAGTAACAAGTAGAAAAAAAGTAAAATGCACAAAGAACCTGTATGGAGATGTTTCCATCTACAGATTTTTCCCTGACCTTCTTTTCTCTGTAAATGAAGGGTGCACACTATTGCTGAGAAACACAATCACTACTTAAACGCTTTTTATTTGAAATAGCATAATGAATTTCTCATAATGTAAATTATATTTAACATAATACATAATATGTATACGGTGTATTACTTGATACAATCAAATCAAAACAAGTGTTCGTTAACCCAAACAACTGTCTTATAGTTGTTTTTGCGGCCGAATATTAGGAAAACAACACGTTCACAGTCACTATCAACAAATTACAAACCTGTTTCCATAAAGCCAGACATGGCAGATGACGAGAGAGAAAACGATATTGTAACAGCTTGAAAATGTTTGATATTTAAACAGAGATTTAAGCAAGATTACTGAGATAACATTTCGTTTTGTTAGGAAAGACCTACGGTGCCGCCATATTTGCCAGAAAACCAGTGCTTGTGTCGTAAAAGTTTTTTTTTTTTTTTTTACCACATTATCACTTTCCGTCGTTGTGTGCCATAAACTGCGCACTCACCACTGTATTTATCAGTAAAAATGTCTGAAATAAACTGAATGTGAAACGTAAGATATTCCCCAACCTATAATGTTACTCTTGACCATGGAAGTCACTAAATTTTATTTCAGCACATTTATTAAATAAATATGCATTACATGCATTTTATAATTTAAATACTTTACCTGGGCATCAGCATTTGCTGTAGTATCATTTTAGTTATTATAATTTATTATTACATTTTATTCAATGTGATTATATTTAATTACATTTATTTTTTACCCTTATATGTATAGAATATTATATAATAGGATATATAATATATATAATATAATGTAATAGAATATTAGATTTAATATTTTTACATAAATGACACCTTTTCCAATAAAATAAAGTTCAGTCCTCTTAGAAATAAAACAGCTAGACACAGAATAATAAAATAACAGCAAATGTGTTTCCTTTTCCATTTTTAAACATCTTCTACATGCTAAACATCTCAATATTTTTATTTATCTGTAAATGCACATTTTGTCTTACCCAGTCTCCCCTACAATGTTTTAATTTTTTCAGATGTGTTCAAATGACAGGAAACTTAATTTAAATATATTTAATATATTAATTTAAAGCTTAATGTGTGGTGAGCATTACCTTTATACTTCCAATGCCCTTTATAAATGTCCTAAATATCCTTTAGCCTACAGTGTACCACACACACACACACACACACACACACACACACACACACACGCACACACAGAGTGTACTGATTTAAAATATTGGCTACATGCTACAGGTGAAAGAACAAAGAGAGTGTATTTATTAGTAGGAATATGATCAAAATGCATTATTTTAATATACATATCTTAATTGTACATTGCAATAGTGAGAGTTTTAATTAATCTTGAACTGTACATGATTACACTATTCTGTTAAAACTGTCCTGCCTGTCAAAGGTGTACACAGCTGTCCACTGTTTAGAGGTATATATATTTGTGCTTAAAAATCTTCATGGTATCTATATGATTTTAACCTTTTGGCTTTCCACTTATATTCCTCTAAAGCTGCTTTTGAAGCAACTTTTTATAGCATTTTTATGAACTGCTTACAACAAATTTACATCAATAAACAAAAACTGAACTGCACAATGACAGTACAAGTGATGACACACTATCATCTCCAGTGAAACCAGTCACTGACTCTGACCCTGTCTGGCCTCCTCAGTTGGAAACATGGTGAGAATAGTACTGAATGATGCAGTTTGACAGCAGATTGATGGTGGGATTCAGTCTCTCACACTTCTGTAGTGTTTGCCCAGCTGGGAAAGGTGTCTAAACTGAAGATAGCTCTGCCCCAGCTGTTAATGGCCAAGGTAATGGAGAGGATGCCGATGATATTCATGACAATCCCTGTCTTGGCCTGCAGATAAAAATTAACATTTGAATAACTGACTTTATGAAAGTAAATAAGTCAGTGCTTTATCATTCCAAGGTCTACATATTAATAATAATCAAAATTTTTGATGAGATTAATATTATTTAATTATCAGAGCATTCCATTTTTATAAAGTTTTATAGTGCATCTAAATCTATGTCTATACATTTCACTGTGCATTTTGGATTAAATAATTCCCAATTCCCAATTATATTTTTAAAGACTATTTATTAACTCTCACCATGTCAGATACTTTCAGGTATCCGTATGAGAAGACTATGGCATTTGGAGGGGTGGCCACAGGGAGCATGAAGGCAAAAGATGCACTGAGGGTGACAGAATAAGAGTCCGAACAGCTGATAAAAGCATCACAATAATCAACAAAACTTTTTCACTGGAGAAGCCAGTATTATGTGTAGAGGATTCGTATTTTAGCCATAAGCCGTACTTTCTACAGTAATCTGACTCTGTTTTCAAAGCTCAATTCTGTTACAGGTAACAGAGAGAGGAATGGACATCACTGGCACATACAACAGTGGCTGCTTATCTGCCTCCAGCAATGGGTGAATTAGCGAGTTAAAAGCCCCCTTCCCCCAATGCCCGTTCTTTTTCATTCTTCCTCCCTCTTTTTTTTTTTTGTGGAAAAAAATCAACCAGACAACAAAGGCACATCTCCATGGTTCTCCCATATGAGCCACTTCAGCTTTAGCCCCCTGCAAATCCCTTCATTCACAGGCTTCCTTGCATAGGCTAATTCATGAGAAGAGGGCAGGATGTGCCAACTGCACAGCAAGAGACAAGAAAGGTGAAACCCAGTGAGAGATTAACGGAGGAAGAAAAACCTTTTCACAATTATGCAACTTGTTTGTGTGCATCTAGTATAATACTGATGTCAGATAAACTAATAAATCTATCATTCCTTTTAAAAATCTACGTGAATGTAACACGTGAATTCAGATTTGTCTCACTATTGCTGAAACAACATGAAACCATCTTGACAAGCTTTGATAAAATAAATAAATCAGTAATTAATATATAAACACTGGACACTGCACCAGCTAAATAAAATTAAAGTGTCACACAAATTTACAGCGATGTTCAAAAGTCTGAGACTACATTGTAATATGGGATTCAAAATCTAGCTTAAACCTGAAAAAATTAATTAAAAATAAAGAAAGAAAGAAAGAAAGAAAGAAAAAAGAAAATTAAAACATTATTACATTAAATGAATACACAAAATACTGTTAGAAAGGCCTGTAAGATTTTTAAATGTTTTTGAAAGTCTCTTATGCTCACCAAGACTGCATTTGTATGCTTCAGAAATCATTGTAATATGCTGCTTTGCTGCTCAAGACACATTTTGTATTATTATCAGTTATTCTGCTGTATGTTTTTGTGGAAACTGTGATACATTTTCTTTAGGATTCATTAGCTCAAAAGAAACAGCATTTATTTGAAATAGATTTTTTTTTCTGTAAGAATGTAAAAGAAATCAAAGAAAATAATATAAATAAATACCCTATTACATAAACCCTATTATAAAAACTCTATTATTCTGATTAAATAATTTGTAAAAAAAAAACAAACAAAAAAAAACAGTGGTCTCTGACGTTTTGGAATGAATGTCAGTTCTTAATTATTAAAAAAATAAAAATTTTTATGGTTTAGAAAAAAATAGAAAAAAGTTATGCAAACTGAACATAAACTGAAAAACTCTATTACATAACACAATATTGCGGCCAAAGATGTTCGTCAGGCATTTCCATAAATACCTGCATAATTTTTTTTTCCATTTTATTGACTGTGTCCTGTGCACCTTCCTGCGACTACAATGGTGTACAAGGAGCATGCAAGTCACGGTGAATATTAGAAGTGCACATACCATAGATGCGAGTATAGGCAGAAATAATGTTGCTGTGGCAACATTGCTGGTGCATTCAGTGAAGGTAGCTATCATCAGACACACGACAACGGCAATTGCCCAGGGAGGAATACTGTGAAGAGGTGACATCTGATCTCCAAGCCATTTTGACAGCCCTGAGACCTGAGCATTGATCCAGCAAAAACAGAATTACCTTTTGTATAGTGTTTAATAAAGAACTTCAGGTTATTTTTTAGTCTTTTTCATGTTCTCCCCTTAAAGCATTGTGTTGTCTTTCTATCAGCTCCCTCTTTAAACTGTTTAGAGGTGGGTGATATGAATAAATTCTTCACCACTATATAAGTCATTTTAAACCAAAATATTTACCATGATATAAGTATATATGGCAAAGCCTATATTTCTCAACATTGTAGCTTAAATGACTGCTATAATTTGGAAAAAGTTTTTCCAAATTATAAAAATTTAGTACCAGTCGTATTTTCATTGATGTTTTTTGAGAATTGTACACTCTCGCTTAGAACAAAATTGTCCATTCTCTCTCTCTCTCTGGCAAAACTTTTTCAGAATTTTTACCCGTGACAACATTTTTTATGAAACCTGAGACACTATAAGAGGGTTAATCTTCGAAACACAAATTAAGATATTTTTAACGAAACCTGAGAGGTTTCTGTCTCTCCATTGAAAGTCTAAGTATACACAATTTAAAAGATCCATAAAGACTTTATAAGTGATGAAAGAATTTAAATTTTTGGGTGAAGTACTCCTTTATTTGCCTTGAACCTACAATATAGCTAGATCTGAGAATCCAGAAGATCACTTATCTTCGGTATATATTGTCATATTTCCCAGCCCTAAAGCTTGATCTATAAGCACTACAGCATAGACATAACAATATGACTTTCTTTAAAGCTGCTTTGACACAATGTGTATTGTGTAAAATGCTATACAAATAAATATGTCCTGGCTTGACTTGAATCAAATACACAAAAACACATTTGTTGTACCTCACTGCCCTTAGCCAGGGCAAAGCCTCCCCCTAGCAGGAGGATAATGCTCCATGGCATCTTCTGCTGTGTCACCTTCCATGTCAGCAAAGTTGGAGTGGGGCCACTTTCCTGCTGGTGCACTATAGACCACAGTCAAATTTATTCTATTTATTGATTTATTTTTATTTTTATGAGAGAAAAAAAAATGTTTTTACAAATAATAAAAGTAACAAAACAACACATACAATTAAAAGAAACAGAGCAACAGCTTATACTTAATGTCATTATATATGGAGAAGGTACATGATTATGCACATTGGTAGAAGATTTGCACATTGACGGTGGGCATTGATACCAAAAATGAATGAATGAATGGATGGATGAATGAATGAATGAATGAATGAATGAATGAATGAATGAATGTATGTGTTACACTGACCTCTGTCACAGGTCTGTGTTCTCCAGTAGCACAAATGTGGTGGTTTAGAGGGAAAAACAAAGAGCAGGGCAGCTACAAACACCGCCACTGTGCCATCTGTCACAAACCTACACAGAGGTGAGCCATGAGGTTGAACGAGGGTAGTGTTAAAGACAACACAACAAAACACACCACAAGAGTTGATTTGTTTTTAAATTTGACTATCTAAGGTTGTGTTTTAGG